CCGCTTTTTCCTGAAATAATATTGCAAGTTGGCATTTTTAATTACTCTTTCATTACGAAATTTCCCAGCTAAATCATGATCACTCCATGGGGAGTACAGAAGTCGTAAAACCATAAAAAACTAACACATTTCCATCTAGAAAGAAATCGCAGTAAACAACTTTATTTAATAACAAAGAAAATATATTTTTTTTCCAAAACGGAAAAAAACTGCCTCAAATTTCCTCAACAAGGGTGGATGTATGTAGTGGATAGTAACGAACTAAACTGCAAGCCTATTCTATGCTGGGTGTTTTATACAAGCACCTCCCAGTAGGGCCTATCTGCGATAAATTATTCAAGTGGAGTTGACATCCTGTTGCCAGGAAAAAAGGTGAATAAAGACAATTTCTGTACACCACTCAAGGACTGAATTAACCACTTGCAGGTTTATTACCTTGCCTGATTGATGCAAGGCCAAAAAAGGAAGAGGGGGCTTTATACACAACCCATAAGCGCCTTAATTAGTGGACACTCCAATTTCTTCCCCGCTCTCTCCGACTTCAGTCACTCGTTATGCTTTGGAATGAAGCTGACAAGAGAACCTACAGCAAAACTAATTTATCGAAATCAGCACTAGAGAAAATCTGATTCAAGCCTTAGTCCCCAAAGACTGTAGAATAAAGGACCACTTATTTTCACCCCCCACTACAAATAAAATACTTCAGGAACGAACAAATCGAGCATTATTTACAGGCCAGTTTGAACGAAAATGTCAAAGACTTCTCTTTGATTTGACTGGCGAGTTTTGAGTGAAGACAGGCTTATGTGGAAACGAAGTAGACAAATTTCCACCAGTTGATGCATCACGTATAATACACACACCCACATCCATTAATGTTTTGAGCCGGTATAAGCGGCAAAGTAAAAATACATGAATTTTTACCACCATGGCGGGTCACTTGACCATAAACTGGTCGTATTCTGGTTATAATACTACCAAGCGCTTCATAAAGCTCTGGTGGGTTTAGGCCTTTCCATACAGGTGAAGTGCCGATGCGCCCTCTAAGCAATATTTTTATGTTACAAATACTAAAAGTGATCGTGGCAAAGAAACCACTTATTATCCGAAAAATTTATCATCTAAAACACGCAATGCTTCTCGTAACCAATTGGGAATCCCCTACTTATGACCTGTAAAATTGCAATTCTTTTTGATATTACAGTGTCTATACTTGATGCCTGCACGAACACATGGCAAAGGTTAGAACATCACGACTTTATTATCCCGACGATCAAGCCACGAAGGGAACCCATCAATATGGTTTTTAAAGGGAATAAGCCAACAGTAACGAGAGAGATCAAGATCGGTTGAGACTGACTTAGTGTGTGATTGATGAAACGCATTAGCCAGATAGTTATATTGTTAGTATATACTACTAAAAGGAGCGTAAGTTTGCTTGATTTTATGAAAAACTAACAAAAATCGTGGAACACTTAGGCCATCTACAATTTATTAGAACTACGGCATCCAGCTAAAGTAGTTCAGCAGAAAAGATGATACATAACATCTCAATAGTAAAATTGAAGGGGCAACGTTCAGCATTTGCGAACAAACACAAAAGAAGTATATTAGTAATATGATGAATTAACAATTAATAGGAGTGAGTGATAAATTATCTATAAGCAAGGGAACGATTGAGGGATTATCGGAGCTACAAATACAGAAAAAGTGGCGTCAATGGATAATACAAAAACCAACTGTTTTTTTCTTTCTTTGTAAATGTGACATTAAACTCTGAAATACAAATACAATGACAATAACTCATCCTTCAGCTTGTACAACTGGGTGATTTCTCTATCGTCTTTTAAATTAAATATCAGACGATCGTCGGAAGGCAGTCCCAATCCACAAGGATCACGAACTAACTACTTTCAAGGATAAAGGCGGGAAAAAAGTCGAGTTGGAATAAGAAAAGTAGCATTTCGAACCAAACGACAAACAAACTAACCTCTTTTGTGGTGGAGTCACTGACATTGATGACTAAGAGATCGGGAGCGAAGGCGTAACTCATGGGTAGAATAACGAAATCCATTATGGCCAACATGTTGGCAACGGAGTGAGTACAAATCGGGGCCTTTGGAGATCTGCAGCACTGCAGAGGCACACTGACCCAACTAGATTGAGGATTCAGACTCGTCAGGGTCAATTCGGAACCAGAATAATGGAAGGAAAAGGCCATCACACTGACAAGTAGAAAAGGGAAAATAAAAAGCAGAATGAGAAGCTCTTAGCACAATCTAGAAATACCGATTAAAGGATTCATGGGGTGGGGGATTATTCTGCCTCTCCCTTGACGGAAAATATAGAAAGCAAGCCAATGTACCTGTAGGGCGTTCACATACTCGCACGCACACACCCTATCCTACTTTGTCTAACTTTTTGAAAGCAAGTTTTCGATGTTGACTAGCACATACCCGTTGGTTAAGTTGTTAGCCTCACAGCTAGATGATAGGATACAGGAAACTCAGGGCTCTCTCGTCCCATCGTCCCACTCTTAACCAATCTACGCAGCAACCATAAAATTCATGACTCCAAAATCACTTGCATTTCACTCCCACTTTAAACCGAATGCATGCAAACGTAAAAATTAACGAAATGCCAATTTTAACAAAAGTTGAGAAAATGGTTACTTTATGGTTTCAATTTGTCCATAAAAAACTACTTCCATTTTAGGATGTTTAGATGTCAGAAAGAAAATACATCTGCAGTCATGTCTATATCTATCGATTCGGAAGTAAGAAGGGAAATTTGGCAGCGATAACGAAATGTATTCAAAAGGAGGGGACACGTGCCTTATTTTTTTTGAAGAATCCGCCTTCCCTTGCTTTTGGTTAAGACACTCAAAAGCCTGCGAATCCAACCCCCCATCTCCTGTCAAATCCACATACATGAGTCGAGAGTCAGACTCCAAAGACTCAGAGGGATTTGCGAAGGGAGGGCTCGGGCGATGCAGCTTCGAACTACATTGATTCGGCAGGCGCTTTAGGAGTTCAAATTTGGTCGAAAGGGACTTTTTGAGCAGATCACAGGGAACTTGAGAGAAGGTTGATATAAACGTGGCCATCGATATATTTTTTGCAGCCACCAACGCCACTGTGAACTACAAAGTAGATGACCAAGTAAGTATTTAAGCGTCAAAGTGGACCAAACAAAATTATACCGAATTGCTGTTCCACCTCGTTTTTGAAGAGACTTATCACCGTGTTCTCAAGTGCCTTAAGTAGAGAAGGTGCACTCTCAAGGGAGCTTTTCTCGTTCAATTTAAGTCTAGTCTTTTTTTGAGGTGTTGAGACGTCCTAATAAGGGAAAAAATAACTTGAAAAGTAGGCACGATGTGACTCTAAGGTCTCAACTGGAAACCATTTCAACTTACACTATCACCTCTTGAAGGCGCTTGCACACCAGTCTCGACATAAGCTTGAAGCTGATAAGAGTCCACGCCATGTACCTTTAAGCTAAACAAGATAAAACACACTGGGACCATGTAAATTTGCGGCACGTAGGCAGAAGCTATAACACGTTGTGTAGTTTAAGGGTTAGAGCAGAAGTTAGTCGGATATGATTTTACTTATATGAGATTGGCTGTTCGGTTAAAAAGAGATTATAAGTGTAAAGAAAACTAACACTAACCTGTCAGTCCACCTTGAAAAAAGCCGATCCAAATCGTTTGGCTTATCAACGGGGAGCAGAAAAACGATGTCCCCTTGAGTAGGTTTCGCTAAGGGTTTAGACAACTTTCGAAGTAGCTTTTGACTGAAAGCCATGGCTGATTTTGAAAGAGTTGGATTTCTTTCTGGCCAATTTACAACTTTGACAGAAGGCCTTGGGTTTGTAAAAATGAGTTCAGCTGGTGCTACTTAAACATCCGGATCAAAATTAGATTAACCCAGCAGCATGAGATTATAAAATCAACAAAAAAACACAAACAGGAGAGGAGTTATTTCAAACTATGAGACGTAATGAGGTAATGCGACCAAAGCAAACAGAAACGCACCAAGAAACTGAAGGAAATCGGGACACATCAGGCCGGGGAATAGTCCGACTTAATCCAACAACATTCAAGCATTTCCAGTACTGTCGAAGTGCCACAATTGAAGATGAGATAGTGCGTTGGACACTAAAAACGTGTCGAGTTTAAATTACTTAATTCCTCTCTTAATTTATAAGGAAATTCAGTACTGCATAAACAATAAGGAAAAAGGGCACCTTTTTGAGGGAGGATCTTGTGCCTGAAGTGAAGGTACATGGTCGCCAAGCAGGGACTTCAGCACATGAATGCACCCCCTCTCAAGACTGTCAACAAAGTAGCCACCCTTTCAAATAAAAAAGGAAATAAGTTGATTTAACCAAAGAACCAAATCACCAAAACACTTGATGCCACAGTATCTGATGGAAATCAAGGTAGGCTTGATGTTACCCCTACAAACTAAATAATACTTTGACATCTTTCGACGAATTCTCAAATCGTAAGTCTGGGCAAATATGGCTCAAGACATCGAATAGTAAGATATCGTTATCATGACAATTACAACAGCATAATGCTTAGTAGAACTTGCTGGTGCTTTTGAAACTCAACACAAACTGAAACAATGACATTGATAATTGGGTGTTAAGCAGAGAAAACGGATAGGGTTTTGTAGGTCAAAACACATACATAGCGCCTTAAAACCAGAGAACAGCTTACTTCAAGAACAACTACAAGTTTTCCTCCGGCGAGGGTGCGAAGCTGATGCGTCATGTGACCGTAGCAAGCAGGACTGAGCCACATTTTGCCCTGAAAAGAACAACCGCAAATGAAAGCGTCTACTTTCACTTGGTTGGTACACAAGTGGTTTCCTGCCTCAGCATCTCCGATGGCTGCGTCGAAACCAGACGACACGAGCACAATCTCCGGATCAAACTAGAAAAATAATACAAATAAACACAAAAAATCCACCTTTAATTAGGACATAATGACCCAAAGAAAGTAAGCGTCAACCTTACCTCATATGCGACCGGCATAATTAGGGTGTGAAAGATTGCTAGATAGTCACTATCTGTCATTCCAGTCTGCAAGTGAAACACGGGGTTTGATAATTCACACTTTAAAGGGCTCTCAGTTTGTTTGTATACGGCAAACAACTCACTTTGTTTAGCGGAATATTGATGTTAAAACCTCGGCCGGACCCATCACCAATAAAGTCAAAATCTCCCTCGCGCAAGTTCGGCCAAAATTTTCGACCCTCGTACCGATGGATGGATATGAAGAGAACTCTTGTCACAGAGAAGACAGAAGTAGACAACAAATGAAGTAGAGAAAGAAATCAAACATCAAAACAATCCCTTTTTTAAATATTAATTTCGACGGTGATTAGCCCATTGAAGAAGTGCCTCTAAAGGGTGTTTTTGTCAGAGTCTCACGCTTCATATCCAATTTGCCTAAAATTAATCGCTTTGAGGAAATAGTGGTTCAAGCATATGCTGTTAGATTAACACTTTTCACAGACAAGGGTATCGCAACACAAAAAAAAACGAATCAGAAAAATGTTCTTTTGATGAGTACAGTTCGAATCAATTCCTATACTTAAACGAAAACAATGGTTTTTTCCTTGCACTATAATTTCAAGAACAAGTAATAGGTCAAACATGAAGTACCAAGCGAGAGTTATTACTATTGACGGTTAACTTAGACTGTTCTCTGTTTCATTTAGCCACCACTAACAACGTGAGCTTATGCTTGTGATGGTCTCTGTCAAATTGCTCCGTGTAGCAAAAAGACGGAAGGTCAGAAATGGACGGCTACTTACGAATAAGTTCACCACGTGGAAAAAACCCTAAAATATAAATGCTTTGAGAAGTTCAGTCACAATTTTGATGTCGGAAGAGAGCCATGGGAAGCGTAAGCTGATATCCAAGTAGCAGTTCATGAGCTAAAAGCGGATGAACTTCAAATTGTGCATAAATTAACAGGAGTTGAAAATAGCCAAATACTGGACAATTCCAAAGTGGATGATTAAACAAATTCCACTGCTAGAATTAATCAAGTGTCAGAGTAATCGTCACACTAATTATCCATCTTAATTGACAAGAGAGAAAAAGCAAATCAATTTAGTGATCACATTGTTGCATGCAAGAAATAGTGGTTAGCTCTTTTTGACAACTTCAAAGGTTTCACTGGATACACCAAATGAGTTATGGAAACATGATCACCAGCAAAGCCTTTGCTTCAGCTATGGTTTCACATAATATTGCATAGATAAGGCTAACTAAGGTATTGAGCAAACTGAATGAGTCTTCCAATCACAATGATGTTTATTTTAGTTGCACACAGGAATCATAAGTCTCTCGTGGATCTAATTCCACGCCGGTGGTATCCGGATACGCATCATTTACCTAAAATGGCCTTCCGTCTTTTTTATACATTGACAGCCCCTTATGGCCTCAGTATAACTTCTTTAAAGGAACTCAGCACTAAAGAGCCCCAAGGCCATTTATTTCTCTACATGATGTAAAAACATCCTTCATTACTACTTCTTGTCTCCCATCCATCCGTCTTTTGGGCTTTTTAGCCGACGATTGATTCAAATGTTTCACCGATAATGATGACTGAAGTTTAGGCACTTATTCACTGAAAAAATGATACACTGGTTACAAAGTTTGCTACATTATGCCTCATACAGGAAGTAAAGTCCTATTTTTATATTTTCTGAAAAAATAGCCGCCCAAAACAGGAGATAGAAGGGAGTATGGCCTACCGATTATCATTGTAGAATGTGTACTGAGTCCCTTGACCCTGATGCACATCCCAGTCCAGAATGAGGATACGTTTGAAACGAGGACCCTGTACAAGCTGGTCGCGGGAAACGGTCTTGGGGCAAAGAGACTGAGGGTTGTAAACAGAAAGAGGTGGAGAATCAAGCAGACTGGCAGCCGCGATGGCGACGTTACCAAAGAAGCAGTAGCCACAGGCTTCGTCGTACATCGCATGGTGACCTGGAGGTCGGACGAGAGCCAAACCGTTCTCCAGCTTCCCGGTCGCGACCTGAACAGTCATTTGCAGAACTGTGCCTGCCGCCAAACTACTTGCTTCCCAGGTGTGCTTTCAGGGAAATGGAAGTGAAAGACTAGCTTTAAGGTTTATTGCAGATCTTGGTAGAATTTAAGTAAACAGTTGGAAAGCTTCGCCTATCACTTAGCGTAAATGCGGTACCCCCAAACCAATATTTTGAAAAGCTGAAGATATTAATCGATGTGATCTAAGTGTTATGAAGGAGGATCTTTGCATCGTGCAGATAGAAAATATGCATTTCATCATTCGGTTTAAATGAAAATGTGGTATAATAAAGTGTTCATTACCCCACTTTATACGTTTAGTATGCTTCTATTGTTTCTTGCTTATTATAAGTTGGAAGTACGGCAACCTGACGGCTAGAGGAGGCGGTCCGCAACGCCAATATGCATGCGTACAATTAAAATGAACAACTTATCATACTCATTGAGTGCAGTAGTATATATTTCGTTTACAGATGGATATCAGTACATTGCCGTTAACTGACCAATTTGTTTTCGTATTGTAGAATCTTAATTTACCATTGCAAATATCCCACATGATTGGACTACTTACCTCCTCATTGTTCTAACTTACCGAATTGAAGAAAACACCGTCATATTTTCCAGAAAGGTCGTAGAGCTCCTCCTTCGATACTTTAGCCGAATCCTTAACTAGAGAAACGTATTCTTGAGCGTGCACCTTCAAAAGAGCACTTTCTGGAACGTGACAAGCCTATCAGCAAAAAAAAACAGTTAAAACTTACATTATGCGACCTCGCTGATCAAAAGTTAGAGCCTGAATAAATTTCCGAGTCCAGTCACTACTAAGTTTGAAGTGATCTGTAAGTGTCGGCAAAAAAATTGATGAGAAAGTCTGACTTTACATTCTCAAAACGACCAAGTTTACATTGTTAGTATGCCGAATACCTGATAGATACAAAAGAAACTCGAAAATCACATTTATATAAACACAAACATTGTAGTAAGCTGAAAGGGCATATAAGTATAAAAGCACTGGAGAAAAATCGCCATCCAAGATACACAGAAAGAATGGATGAAATTTAGAAAGCACGGATATTATAGTTTTGAAGATACATGAAAAGATAAGGTGGGACTTACGGGCACGCGTGTGCATCGGTTAAGTAAGCCCTGTTTTTGAATTAGTTGGAAGGGACGGGAAATTCTTGCAGGAGACTCCTGCTCCCCAAAAAACCATTCATGGCGATGGCGCGTCATCCGATCATCAAAGCAGATTCCTGTGCCTCTATCATTGCAATAAATGTACAAAACTTGACCCAACGACCCACTGACTATCGAAATAATATTTCGATTTCTAAAATGTTTTTTCAACAAGTAACTACTAAAAATTATGCATTCATATGTAGTACTCCGACTACACCAAATGGCGTTTTTTGACTTTTTGATGTTTACAACTTCAAATTTTGATATTTCTTATCATAAGAATTTAGTCTTTAAAAAACAGCAGGAATTGGTGGTAATATCGCAATATTTTAGACCTTAAATATACCATCTTGATCAATTTTAGGGTTAATGCACAAGTACTTACTTATCGAAGGGAGGGGGAAAATGAAACATAATAAAATATTTAATGCAAGACAATTCCTCAACCGAATGAAACGTACTTTCCATTTTTACAGACGATTGATGAGGAATCATGAGCATCAGTGTCAACACTGCGGCGCTTTCGTTTCATTTGGACGATGAGACTTGGTTACCTCTATTTCTTCTATGAGGAATTGTCACCTTTCACGTGCCAGAAGACTTTTCGCAGGTAACCCAAGGTCTAAATCACAGTGAAGACACATGACATACAGGGGAGGGGGGAGAGGATGCGTAGTACGAAATTGGTGAGAACCAAGAAAATGGAATACGACAACCAGGATGAATATGTGAACTGGAAGCTAAGGTACTGCTAAATATCCTGAACGCATCCCCTTGTTTTTATATGATTACATAGTTGAGTAGTAAAAACGACTTTTAGAGTTAAATCAATCACATGCGTATTGAGATTCTCCATTATCTTGAAGATGAGGTACCTAGTCTCTGAAATGTTCGCAAAAGAGCCTAACGTGATCTCTTCAGGAGAAATGGCCACGACATAACTGGGTAGGAAAGGGATACTAGTAGCAGCGGGATGCACCTCGCCCCGGGAGGCAGTACACACGACATCAGTTGGTCTCAACATGTGCATGCACTGACACAATTGACGTGTAGTGGGTCCGAACAAGCGGCGTGTGATAGCCTATGCAACTGATGAGAAAGAAATCCACTCAATATACTTTATTCTCAATCCAAAAAGTACTCTTACACAATAAATGCGGCTCTGTGAGAGAGGCCATAACAAAAATAGGGGAATTAACAGTAGAGGTGAAATACGTCCTGCGGACGCACTTCAAGAACGCGGTGGCGGAACTGGAAGTCAAGTAGGCATAACCACTCCGAATTTGGCCAGATGGAGTGCTTGTTTCGCCTCTAGTAAAACCTAAAAAACAATTGAATTTAATAATGGAAGAATGAATACGACGACAGCCTGAATAATAAATTTTTCTACTATTATGATTCTTATTAATAAAATAATTAGGTGAATTCATTTGTTTCAAATCTTTAGCACAACTCACAACCATAAAATGATGCAGCAAATTAGCGGCAGGAAATAATTTAGGAAAAAATGTGTGAAGAATTTGAAGTACATTGCTCTGAATCACAACTAAGGGGTGCACAGCTATTGAGTTCATGAGTTCCAGATCGGCCAACATACCAACCTGACAAGCAAAAGGTCGCATGGTGTAATATTTTGAAAAGAAACTACTAATTAAGGACTAATTAAAATCTTGCACATGAAAGATGGCTCAGAACACAAAAAGTGATTAGAAAGAAGTTGAGAATTACCTCGTTGTGAATGTAACTGTTGCACACATAGCACCACGCGGAGAGATCAGCCAAACTTAGAACGATGGAATGCTGAGTGGTGTTGTAATGCTCTAACATATGTCCTTGAGCATAACGTCCACAGTATACCTTAATCAGTAGAGTGGACCCAATACAGATTAAAAAGCATGAAATGATTGACGTAAGTCCAGGAAGGAAAAGGAATAAGAAATATCGACGAAAACAGAAGCGTACCTCATAACACGTGAGACAGACCCAGTTTTCGTGGCGACTTTCGCATCGTGTACAGGGGTGTGTAACCTCAGGACGCCACTGACTGGCAGACGTGACCTGGCCTAAGTGGGGACACCAGAGAATCGGTTCTACGGCAAACAACCGATTTGGTGTCGGATCACTAGAGTTCTGTGTAAGAATTGGAAGAGTAGAAAAACATCATTTTCTATTAGGATAGCCAAAGTTCGAGTAAGGTCTGCAAATTTTGATTTAGTTTGACTGGAAATTGCTAGCTAAACTAGGTCAATACTTTCAATTGCCCACCACTCTACCAGACAAAACTTCCAAGAGTATGGGGGTTTTCAAGTAAGAGGTCAATGAAGAGATGAGGGGCAAAGTTGGCTACCAGTCCAAGGAAGGAACCCAGATCTTCAATGCCGGCGTCAGCGAAGTGAACAAGTTGACGAAGCATCCCAGAATCCACTCGGTTGGTGGAGCGTTCAGCTGAGGGTCCAGCGACGGGCTGGGGTGTATCAGAGAGTGGAACTGCTCCCATAGACAAGTCAGAGACAGTTGCTGCCGTAGCTGATGTCGTCGGGTGCTGCTGTGGCTGGGAGCTTGCAACCTCCTGCGAATTGGAATCGGCTGAAAATGGTAAAACGGTACTGCTACTATTTAATATGACATGGGCATTCTTCTGAGATACTTCCCAATAAGTGTAAAAACATATCCAACGACTGAGAAAGTAAGTGAATCAATCAAAACCAAACGTTCGGCGTAAAAACCGTCAAACAGCAGACTGACATGTTAGGTGGACATCAAGACCGCTCTTTAACTTAGAGGGGATCCGCATCTAATAAGCTTCCTAGATCCCAATCTCTTTCTCAAAGAAATTCAAGAAAATCAGTCTGCCTGCTAACCAACTAGATGATAAAAATTCAACTGAAGTTTTAATCAGCCTCAAAAATGACAAAAGGGTATTTGCGAGACAAGTGATGAGCGTGGATGGTTGATTATGCTTCCGCCTACAAAACATACGTGTCGTAATTCTCAATTACGTGTTTATTTTAAAGCATAACTATAGAACAAGAGGTAATTCCGATTTTGAATCAGCGCTACTTTCAACCAGGGCCTGAACTGAGAAATTAAGCAAATACTTAAAGGACGAACTCCAAAAAATTGAATCAGAGAGGGCCCAAGTAAAGGCCCGAGTGGGAAGTACCATCACTGTTGGCAGGAGGTGGTGATGCTGGCTGAGGCGCTTCAAACGCCATCACGACTTCCTGTGCAGCAGGTATACTAAGTTCGGCTTGAATGGTGGTGGTAGAGAGGGAGACATAAGGAGAGAAGAGGGAAGCCGAGGAGGTGGAGTCAAAGGAGACACCGGTTGCGACGTTAGTGGTCGCCGCGACTGTCGCTTCTGTGCCCGTGTGATTTTCGGTGGAGGCCTGTGTGGTTGGAGTGGCCGCAGTGATTGACGAGGTAGTCACGGCCTGCAGACGTGTATTCGTCAATTGATCCAAATGGCAGGCCATTGGACCTGCAAAACAAAAAAACACTCACCACCGCAATCGGTCACAGTCTCCAGATTACGTGTAAAGCCTCTGAGTACCCCTTAACAACTTCAAAACAAATGCCTTCATAAAAGATTACCGTTTAACAGGAGATATGGTGATGCGGATTGCAAATTCTCTAGATTGCCTCAGACGAATGGGAACGAAATCGAAACAAAATTAGTAAGATTTTTGGAATTAAATGCAAACATGAAGTTTGATACTTACAAGCAGATAATGAAATGGGTTATCAGAAAAGCAGTAATGTAGACAGTTCAATTATTAGAGCCATAATGGTATATACCCCGCAGACGATATACTCTGTCCACTATCATATCAAATAAGTAATGGTAAACAAAAATAAAAGAACAAGTTCAGAGAGTAAAGTAGTATTCCTCACAAAGATACGTGTAAACAAGTTAACAATAAGGACACTAGAATGGGTCACCAACAAATAATTTATTAAGCAGTAATGAACTTCAATAGCCACTTTACAAGGACAGGAATAAAGTTACCGGCGTGTTATGCAATTTACAGTCGTAGTGTTAAGTATCTATTCAAGTCCAAACATTTGGCGCGCAAGCATTCGGACAACCACTTTACCGCAAAGGCGGCGACAGGAATAATAAGTGAACAAATCTCTTACTGTAATCAAACAGAGATGTCCAGTGGTTCTTTTGAACTTCAACAACTCTGCGAATGGTCGCTGCACCTCTAAAAAAAACAAAATAGCGTTATGTAAATAAGGCAATGCATCGAAAAAATGTAGTAAGCCTTTCCGTGCAGGAAAAAGGGAGAAAGCGAGATGTGCCACGATGTACTTACAAAACCGCCTTGGCATGCCAGGTGAAGACCGAACTATGGCGGCAGAAGAGGTTGGTAAAGCACAATGGTATGAAAGGAAGGCAAACACAAATTGAGAGGTGGGAAGGTGGGGGGAAGATGAAACCCACTTATCGGTGGGCGCAAGGCCGCTGGGCAACCGGAGGCAGGTGTCGGAAAGTAGCGTGGCGACGCAGTGACTGAGACCCTCAGCAGTGGCTGTGAGGTTGTAGCCGCCCTCCAGGGCCAAAATGACACCCCGACGTCTCCGCTCTGTCTCTGCCTCCACTGGGTTATTCAGTGTCGATGTGGCGACTAGAAGATGAGTCAAGTGACCGAAACACTCCATAGAGATACCCACTCCTCCCTATAACAGTGAAATGCACTTCATCCTTAGATTGACCATGAGTTCCTGTTGCCATTGAGAAAAACATGAAGACGTCAAATACCCAAGCCGATGTATATCAGTTACACAACCACCATTTTGATAGGCGCCGAGGTAGGTAATAATCCCTGGCCCAACAGCCAGTTAACGTTTTCTTATGCTATCATAAATTACAGTGAAGGCTTGATTGGAGACAATAGTTAAACTATTAAAATTCATCCCTATGAAAAAGTAAATTATCTACATAAGAGGAGGCATTTATACTAAGTGATCTCCACGGGCGGCATCGAAACCAGCTGCAACGATGGTGAGTTCAGCACGAAACTCGTAGAGGATCGGAAGAACAACATGCAAGAATACAGATAGGTAGTCACCGTCGCGTATGGGCCTCTGAAGAAGAAAGTAGGTTAGTAATTTAACAGGTAGATGGGAACAAGGTGAATCAAAAGGCTCATTAACCCCATTCCAAGGTATATTGACAGTCTTTCCAACGCCTTCACCATCCCCACAAAATGCGGTGTCAGCATCAGGAGAGTTGGGGAAGTAGCGCCCTTCATCAAAGCGATGAATTGAAAGACAGAGAACGCTGAAATCATGAAACGCCAAATCAATAGCCATTGGTAGACTGTAGACCCACTCAAATTTGCGAAAATTACCCACTTGGGATCCATTTCGAAGATGTGCTGAAGGCCATTACCGTGGTGTATATCCCAGTCAATAACAGCAATTCTAAGAAGATAATGGGTGTAAAACAGGTATAGGACCTACTTTTTTAGTCCATGGGATTCTTGAGCATGGCGCACAGCCAGAGCGACGTTATTGAAGAAACAGAAGCCCATGCACCGGTCGTATTCCGCATGGTGACCAGGTGGCCGGATCACAGCCACGCCATGCAACGCCTACAAGAAGCAATACAATAACACAAATAATTATAATTTACTCAGGTTTCCACACTAAAGCCTTATAAGCGGGAAGCATATCCAAAAAATGAGAATTGGGTAGATAATAAATCGTAAAAAGCAAATAGTAGTCACAAATGCCTCGCAAGTAAACTATATTTGACATGTAAAGAAACGCCTTCCTTTTTAGAACATGCCGACCGTAAGGAAAGCTAAAAGCAAGCATAGATAGATGAATTTTCATGTGCGCGCACCTCGCCGCTGCATATATCGTCAACAACAGAGAGGAGGGAACCGGCAGCAAGTGAGGCAGAGTCGTACGTGTGCTAAAATGCGGACGAAAAAGTAAACAGTCAGTTTGAGAAAAAAACTTCTCTCCTTCTTCCACTGTATTAAACGTGCCTTATTCAAAAAAACGGATTGGAAGCGCTCAGCAAACTCGTTGATAGCTGCTTGTGGCATTGTAGCTGTGTTCTTCAGTGCATCGATGTACTCCTGACTATGAATACGAAGTAATTCCTCCTCACTCGCCACACGAGCCTAGGTGGACAAGAAGTGCGCCCTAGTAAGGGATGAGAGGTCGCATTCTCTTAACTACATGCTAAATGAACCACATACCTCAGTTCGTTTACATCGCCTTGCAAGACCATACTCCTCCAACAATTCATAGGCCCGGCGAGTCCGTGCCGGGCATTCAGGCTGCTGGCTGAATAAATAGTAACATTAAAAATATCAAGATGGGATCACAAATTTATATACGCTCTACTGATTTGAAAAGTGATGATCAAGACAGGTAACTGTTAATGTAGAGTGGAGGGAACTTTAAATGTTTATCAGAGGAATAAAAAACGATGAGGTTATAGGATCATTCCACGAAACGGAGTGTAAAGTTGTCCTAATGGGTAAAATAATATGGAACTTCTTATTTGTCTTTTATTCTGTATGAAAACAAACAGAAACAAACAGGCAGGAATCGAGGAAACTAGAAAATATCAACAATAACGGCAGAATCCATACCGTTCAAGCTCGCTTTTATGATTTTCCATACGACTGTCGTAGACGAGACATGCTCTACAAGAGAGAAGAAAACAGGGAAATTGAGTGCATTAGATAACGCGAAAAATTTTGACATAGTGTTATTTATGGATGAAAATAAAGAATGCTGTTAGAAACAAAAATAGATTTTAGAATTCGCTTTAGACGCGGCGACGGTTTTGAAATAATCACACGCTTTAGAACAAATTCAAAATACTGAATTAATCTATAAGACCTAGGATTTCGCTTTAGAGGTATACATAAGGCTTAGTGAAATGACTCAAGTTTTCACTGCAAGATTTATCATCTAGCGTGGGTATGTGGAAGTACTATAGCGGCTGCCTCACCTTTGCTGATCAGTCATTTCGGTAAAGGAGCAGATCCTTCTGAGGTCGGCAAGTTTTTTGTTCGCAGCAGCAACCTCATCTTCACTTCGACGGCAGGGCTCCACGTCAGTGGTCGGCACCATCACTGTTTTCCTAGGAGGCATTTCATTAGTAAAGTTTCATTAACATATTTCCAAAAAAGGTCACAGAATTATGAAATTACCAGGTATTAGTACTGAGGCCGGACATATCCTTGGGAGACAGCGCTTGTTTGATAGGGAAAATGTTAAGGCTTTTCCACTTCGTTCGCAGAACAGAAACACACTTTCTTATTGCCTCCTTGGTGCTAGGAAGAAAGGTTGGGTTGAAGAGAAGGGCGCTTAAATGCCTACCCTGATAATACCGGTTTTAGAGACTCGAGTGAAGGCAGGGGATCACCTAATAGAGCAGATATCGTGTGCGCCACACCATCACTGAGGGATTCCACATTATAACCACCCTAGAGAACACGATGAAACAAGATTCAAGATGAGAAAAAATTCATATACAAAACTAGTGGGTAAAAATGATTGTTTCGATCTCACTTCCAGTGCAACTATCACATTGCCATCTGCCAAAACCATAAGACGGTTGGTTAAGTGGGCGAAAACAGCCGGAGATAAGGAAAAGCAGCCCTAAAGAGTGGAAATTCGATAGTATACTAGGATATGCTTCATACATTAAGTAGTAAAGTTAAATGTATAATGGCGTACGTAAGGACAACCAAGAGCACAGTCATAACCGGCAGAAACGATTACGAGATCAGGACCAAACTAGGAGAAAAAAAACATAGCAAGCAAAGTTCTAAATGACAAAATTATTAGAAGAAAATGATTACCTCGTATGCGATGGGCATCAGAAGGATGTTGAATATGGTCAAATAGTCAATATCTGAGTAGTCTTTCTTAAAGAGGAAATAATAAAAAAACCTCCAGTGCTGAACATCAGACCAACTACATATAACGTAAAATTGTGATATCCTAACAAACAATCTACCCCATCTAGAGGAACATTGATGTTATATCCATAACTGGGTCCTTGGCCAACAAAATCGTAGTCTGATTCACGCAAAGAAGGCCAGTAGTTTCCTTGATCATAACGATGAATGGAAAAGTAGAGAACCCTAAACCAAGTCACACAACATTATATGAATTTAAGTGGAGCCCTTTTTTAATTTCGTCACCAATATCTTGACACATTACATCCTTTCATCATATAGTTGTGTCTATTAGCTAAGGATTGGCGCAGGTGAGGAGTGGCAGCATCAAAATTTTCCATTACCGGAGCATGAAGACAGAATGAAAATACTAAATGGATGCTCAGCAATTTCAAAAATGGTGAGTTATAAGGAAGTAAAGAGTAAAAGACTGTAGCAGGAGTTATAAAAAGGCAGTATTATATGCCACACCTTGGGTCATCATAGAAGGCATATTGCATTGCTTGACCATGATGGATGTCCCAGTCAACGATCAGAATTCTATAAAACAAATGGTTTTAAATCATATTGAAACACCATTAATACTAGAAAAACTGGTTCAAGTCAATACATAAGCATGGTCCTCGCATAAGTGAAATAATCGGAAGAAAATGACAGTTCAAAATTAACCTATTTGCCTCATGCTGACGTAATGCATGCTTAGCTGCGATTTCAACATTATTGAAAACACAGTAACCACACGGTTCATCTTTCATTGCGTGATGACCTGGTGGCCTAAAAGATAAATGATTGGCAGTGGCAAGCGAGCCTACCTCACCAGACAGAACGCATTTCTGGTATCTCCCCGGGTTACAACATCGACCGCATGGGTCAGAGCACCAGCGGCCAAACGGGCTGCGGTGTGAGTGTCCTAAGAACATGGTCAGTGAGGGAAATGGGCTCACCTTGTTAAAAAAGGCGCTGTCAAACCTTTTCACATACTCAAACCTTGCGTCATCGCTCATTTCAACGGTGGCAGCCACAGCGTCAATATAATCTTGTGTGTGTGCCAAACGTAGCAATTCATCACTTATAGGCTGAGGCTAAGAGCACAACCCTGTAAATGGAAACCCTTATTACTTACCTGAATTAGGAGACATCGATCCACGAGACCGAATTCACTACATCGTTGATACGCGATTTTCAATCGATCTGGGCACTCGGGACAGTTCTCATGGAGCCAATTAGCGTGGTTAAGCATATCAGTGTGATAGAACAGTGCGGTGCTGTATATTTACAATATTAAAAAAACGACTAGATTTACCGTCGATTAGATCCAAAACGCCGTTGAAAGACCTGGTCAGAAAAGGAATAAAATGAATGCTTAAACATACGCTGCTTATTCCCATGCCAGCAAAAACGACCTGTACATCCTCGTCTCCAAAAGGAGTTCTTTGGCGAGCACGCCGACGCTCCCGTTGGGTAAACTTTTAAAGCAAAGTGGAAAATCCCTCAAATTAGATCAAGGAGTGAACCATATAGCTCATTTCCTAGTATAACTAGACGTGACCATACGTCGAAAAAAGTTTCTTCAAGCCATCTCGAATAAAGAAATGGAAAACAACTTATTGCACAATAAAAGACGCACAATTTGCCTTATAGCACTGATATAAGTGAGAAAAAAGAAACAAATGAGCCAGAGACCAGAAATATTGGTGAGTACGAGCAAAATAAATCATACTAAATTAGGATCCACAATGCGTAAGTTCAAGTCATTAACCAGCAATAAATCATGCAGTATTAGGTGCATTGAGTACAGAACGCGCACTTGAGTAATTTGATCATTTTGAAGGCTCATTTAAAGTAACGCATTAAATCCAAAGGAACTTTTTCAAAACTGCGCGTAAGTCGTTAACAGGATCTTTTGCACCATTGGTTATTTCGTATCGTCTCCCAATATTACTAAAATTAGAAATAAATTTTCAGCGAACTTGTAAAAGATGACACGATTGAGCCGAACGAAAACCGTTCATCATGCAGCAGACTTCTAAAAAGGTTGAAAAGTTTATGCATTCTGTCTTAAATTCATAGATACTCGCGTGAAGTAGTGCACTTATTATTGTTTCATTTTGCCAAATACGTGTTTGGAGAACAGTTTGTTGCGCTTACAGAATTCCCGGCCAAACTTTATCCGGATTATTGTTTGTAAACCTAGCCTCTGCCTAGTGGTTAATAATTTGTTAACAATATTCATTCTTCCACGTCATCGTTCTAAACGGAACCTTAGGTACTCTTTTGCCCTGATTGAAAGTGTAAGTGTATTTGCATGACTAAAGTTTGGGAAAATAGCTTTGTACATATAAAGTATTCTATTGCTGCTAATAATGGTGCGTGTCGGAAACTTCCTGCATGATAATCCGTTACTGTACTCACATTTATATTATTGTCTTTTTGAATTGATTTTAACCAGCTCTCCAATAAAGATATGTGAGTGTACAAATATACAAACGTACGTTGAGTGTAAACGCCATGGATTATTTTGAATTCCATTTTATTTGTCAGGCATTAAATCCAAAAGTCTTGGCTTAAATGATTAGGTCCTCCCACATGAAAAAGATTTATTTTAGTTAATGTGAGGAAGTTTATTTATAAAAGATAAAAAAATTATTAGACCAAACATATGGGCCGAAGTGTTATCAAGTTCAGGGAGGCTTTCCACGACAGAATAGACTTCTCAAGCTCACTTTTTGTCCTTAATCATCCAGTAGAATAGTAATTTTATTGCGCAAATAAGCACAGATTTTGTTTTTATGTATATTCTCTATGTAGACATGTATTACCGACCTTTTTATCAGGTTGGCTGACCAAAATTTAACCGTATTCACAAGTGCATAGTTAAAAAATTACCGCTTCGTATTTATGAGCATGCAGATGCCTCTGCATGCCTTAAAAGTCCTCGTTGCCGGTGATGATTAGGCGAAATTTCAGTTATGTGTACGCTGTGCAGCCGAATCGTTACACAAGCTGGTGCATCCGGACACGTTACGCGGTTGATAGTATTAGAAACCTAGGTAGTGCAGTCTCCTCATAAGTCTCTGGCACTGCACACTTCTACAGCATTTCCTGTGCCTTTCCATTTAAACACGATCACGTTCCCTAGAACTCTATTATTACGTCGTGCGGAGTATTTTTCATTTGTGATTTATTCAAAGAAGGCCTTAACAAAACAAAGTGAGGATTTTTTTAGCACACTACTTTGTCATCACGATGACTCCATGATCCAAGTGTCATAAAAACAAACCTCCCAATGTGGAAATAAAAATGCTGCTCGGGGGAAGGAGGAAATGCTGACGGTGCGGTGGATTTGTGTGCAAGGTTATTGGCCACGTAGTTGTCTTGTGGGGGATAAGCGCATATTCCTATCGTAAATGAACTGCGGCCCATGTGCGCAAGGTTGCCAACACATGCTTCCATACGTCAGATGGACAGTTTGAGCGCTACTTACTACTCCTGTCTATGTACAGGAAGTTCCTCTTAAAGTGCACTTAGAGGTACACACACGAGAGTAAGGGTCAATTATAGTCGCAGTTGCAAATGACAGGAAAATATGCATTTATTGTAACCTCGTAAAGGCGAAATACAGTTTTGGAATTCTCTTCGAATGCTTGTTCTCCGCTTAGTGTTAACAAAATGCTTGCGATGGGCTGTTGTTTCAGTTCAAAAATCTCTGTGTCTACGTACATAAAATTTCAAGACACGCTGAATGAAACTAAAAATTGTTCCAAATAGTTTAGTATCTGCTGTGTGGAGAAGTAACTACTAGGACATTGTAGCTATAGATGCTAAGATAGTGAAGAGTACGCTTACAGGCTTGGGCAGATCTAACAGATTAGGCCACTGCGAGCTTCCACAAATGCAGGAAAAAAGGTAAAGAGAAACGTTTAGAGGCTTTACTATGCCTCAATTATACATTTTAAAGTAGTAAAACTGTGTGTGGGTGTGTTTGAGTTGAAGAGTATGACAAGTAGTGAAAAGAAAAAAAGGCTAAACACAAATGCTCGAAGGTGTGAAAAAATAAACTGTTTAAATGTCAGTTGCTGCGTCGTTGGGGCTAGGCATTGGAGAATGAAAAATGTCCAAACATTCTGCCAATGGGCGTGAGTGCCCTCTTCAGGGAATCGATTCTTTACCCCAGTGGGATTACAATCGACGCTCCACTAGCCCCTGAATTAAACCCAAAGCAAGACACACGCTCGGAAGAGAGAAATACACATAGTCGTAAACTAGTGCCACACTTTCCTGGAAATGAACGAGGCACATCGGTAATGAGGTAAACCGAGCAAAAATAATTTTGATTGGCCTTAAAAATTCCCAGCAATCCTTCCATTCTCCCTCAATGGATTTGGATCAAACACTAGGGACATTAATTTTCTTTGAACTGATCGAGACAAATTACAAGATTCCACCACAATAGTCCCTTATAGGTATAGTATTGACGCCTCTATGTAGCTAGCTAAATAGGGATAAAAACGGGGCTCGGTTTATATGCAGCCATAAAAGACTCGGGTGACTTCGTCTGTGCCGTCGTTAGGCAGGTATTAGGAATCGAACTTTAAGACCTAAAGATGATAACCAAAAGTGTCATGCTGGAGGCAAGTGGGTGCGATCATTCCATGTCGGTAAATGGAGCTATTGACTCCAATGGTTTGTGGTGATGCACATAATGTAGCATAGCGAACTTCGTCAGTTCTACCTAATCGCACAATTATGGGATTCCGTAGGAGCTTGTTCGTATACCCGCGAATTTGTTCATGGCCCTTTTTAGTAAGAGCCACTTCGTCCCGAGTAAAAGTTGTGGGTTAAAATCAGTTGTTTCGAAGTTCAATTTCTAGGACCAAATGACTAATCTGCTCAAAGCTTCCATGTTTTGAATCAGGCTTTGTGTAGACATAGTTGACCTCACCATCCAGTCCTGTTGCCCCCTTTGTCGAGCCACGCACGACTTCGCCTCCCCCCCTCCCCATGATGCTGTTGTAACTTAGGTACCAGATCATATCAATTTGATGATTAGAGTCTCTAGTGTGGGCATGACTTTGTTTGTCACAGTGATTTAGCTAAGATAGTTGGTCTAATTCGCCACGTATAATAGCCACATAAGCGGTATCAAAGGAGAACCTAATTACAGCAATTATATTCGGGTTTCCCATCAGCCACAAACCTCCCCGAAGGACCATATGGAACTCACAGTTTGGGTGCGCCTACAAAATTAATTTTGTGTCGGCGAAATGGCTTGTGTTTTTATCCCCCTACCTGGCACGCTCTGTAACTCAGCTACTTACACTACATCACACAAAACACGATCTGCACAACTCAAACAGTAATCTGTAAATATGTAACCTTCTAACTGAATTGTACACCTCCAAACCCGTTACTTCTGCATCATTCACTAAAACATGCCACATCGTAAATTTAAAAGAGTTCGGGTTTCGTTCTCTCCTCCCTTAGGCGTGCCGCCATTGCTAAAGGTGACAACTTTGCAACCTACTTTGACCCCGCAAATCATGTTGGCTTTGAGGTCAGCCTTTCGCACAGTCATAGATTTGTAGCAAACTCGTGTCGTGGGTTGAATTCACTAATATTTCATATCTAATGCTTCTCTACGAAAAAAAAAACAAGATCAAAAAGAAATTGGCTGCAAGAGGATTGGGATCGAATAGTACAATTTCTACTTATGCCTCCCTCGAGGATAAAGTATAGCTATCATTCCGTAAATACCTCCGAGATATTATCTGTGAGGCAAAGGATGATCGTTAATGGTGTCCACCAGAAAAGTCCCTTCTGGATCCTTTCGATCACTCATTTCACATTTACTGGTGTACTAGTTGCAGAGCTAAACCGGTAGCTTTGGACGAAACGATTTTGAAGGAATGGTTATGGCAGAGAGATCAAGTAAGGTAAGGCTTTTTTCTCAATCCATTCCTCGGAAACATACTTTTCAACCGAGTACGCATTTGTCAGGCGATAAAATTATCATCCCAATGAGATAACAATCATGGTTATGGCAGATGACCACACAAGGGTTCAATCTTATTGCGACATGGCTATTGTCAAACCACTTTGCCTTGATTTGCTTTGGAGAGCTACATCACTGCATTTGGTGATCTGAGCAGTGTAGAAAAAACTCCACTTTACAAGTACCCAATAGCGATAACTTTCCGGAACCTTCTAACTGCCGCAATTGTCAAGGTTAATTCCAACCATAGCAACGGCTGTACTTTGGATGGAGTGAGATTGCAGAGCGCAACAACATCCCCTTCCATTGGATTTTGAGTAAGAGTTCACACTCACGGGATAATTGTCGCCCCTTTTATTGTTGTAAAACGCACTATACAGACTGTTGTGCATTTCCAAATGCATTGCACACTCAGTCGTGGTACTATTTTACAGTCGGCCAGGTCCATTGGGCAAGGCGGGCGATTGATTCGGGTGATGACTATCATGCCACGCCGCCAGCTTCGACCGGGATTCTCGCCCTATTAGTCGTTGTTTATAACAACGAGGAGATCCGAACTGAGTCTCTTCCAAGGTAGGAGGGCAAATAATATTAAGGTGATTACCGCGCGCAGCTAACGGGAACCCGGATAAACTTATCCAAGGAATGAAGTTTAGTTGCAACAAAATTGGTAGACAAGCATGGGAGTTCCCAAACCGTCCCACGGACCCTTATTTTACCTTTCCGGCACAACACGGTTACACTCTTCGAAATGCAGAACGGCCGCAACCACATCCAAGGTATGTGCATTTGACTTTTGGTAACTTCCAGACCCACCAAGTACAGGCATAGCACAACACATCTAGGTCCCATTGCGGAACAAGCAACGCAACTTTTTGCTGCTTCCGGTATGTACAATACTTTTACTGTAAAAATATGCACTTAACAGTGCCATCTAACAGTAGCGTCTGCATTAGGCATATTTGGTGAATATGTACATGATGAGGGCAGAAAGGCCACTAGCCACAGGCAGGGTGACAACCCACGCCAGGATAATATTGACAAACAGTCGCCAATTTACACTCATTTTGGAGCGGATAAATCCGACAATCACCACAGAGCCAACGAGACAGTGTGTCGTAGAGACTGGAAGGCCTGCCTTGCTCGCAATCAACACGGTAATCGCCGCACCAAGTTCAATGCACATGCCGCTAGGGAAAGAAGAATAAGCAACATGTATGAATCCTTGTAAAGGGCGAGTTCCGATTGGCCATACAAAAGGCAAAAGCATACCTAGAAGGCGTAATGACAGTCAGATCGGTACCGATAGTTTCCATAACTTTTCGACCCCAAATCCACAAGCCAACGGAGATACCAACACCACCATAGAAGAGGATCCAAACGGCAGGTTTGGCAGTCATCAACACATTTCCAGTCGTAGAGACAATCCAAAGCCCAATCACCGGTCCGATAGCATTGCTAAATGTATTTAAAAAAGTGCAGGATATGACTATAAATAGCATTTGTGTTAAGATGTACAGGCAGTGATAGTTGTCCACCTACCTGACATCATTTCCACCATGAACGAATGAGCCGAACGTCGCTGTAAGGATTTGTGCAAAAGCGAACACCTGAGCCTCCTCCGGTCTATCGTAGACTTGACCAGTTGGAGAACACTAGTACAAAGAAAGAAAACAATTTAAGTACAATTAGCCCTAAGCAGAACATCACACATGTAAAGAACGTGATTAGCAGCCATCTCTAGTTACACGGCTACTGAATTTGATCTTTGCTTTACTAGGAATGATGAAATAATGTAGGTTAGCTTCCAGGCTCACAGGCTTGTCATGAAATGATAGCCACATGGAACCAGTCTAGAAATTTACTATACACATCGACATGAGCGCTTGTGTGTACGCGCATGAAATCACAAGTCTTAAGCAGCTATCTATGGAGAGAGAGTGAGGTCTACATTGTTTCTAGCATCGAAGGTTACCGTAACAGCGTCAGGAGGAGATGTGCACGCGAGCGCGGATCCCACAACATCGGTTGGAGGCAGCGTTTGAATTTCAACGTCTGCAATTATTCCATCCCCTGAAGGTCCTAAAGATGAGAATATTGGAGAAAAATAAAAAAATTAAGAAGCGTGCTGTTTGAACATTATGCGTCCATATTCTCACCATTTATCTATATTTGTATCTAACTGAGCTCACAAAAATGGAGTGACCGTTTAAACATCACCAGTACAAATGTGAGTGTGTTTGACAGCTTAACTCCTAAAAACAGCAAATACGCATGATCTCATCCCCCTTTGTGGGAATCGAGTATTTTGCCTATTTTAGGACCTCGCGAGTTGAACCTGTAGAGCATTAGGAAGTGGTCCTAAAGAAGTTAGAAATGGTGACTTCACACAATAGGGGACTAAAAATGTAAGGCAACAATAATAGACATCTGCGGATTGCCGACTCACGTGCATATCCAGCTTTAATGTTATTCTTCCGTGTGTCAAATAGGCGCAAATAAGGTGGCGCCGGTTAGTCTAATTAGACCCAAATAAACAATTCTCAGTTCTTTGAGTTATAAAATGTCAAATGATAAGGAGAATAAAGGGTAATTTGACCCCTAAAAACCCCTGGACACCCTTCAGTAGTAAAGTAGATAAATAGGTGGGACTTGATAGTCTATACTTTAATTTTGCGAGAAAGACAACGGATGGTTACCTCACCGAGAGTGAAGTAAATTTATTCGCCACCTTAGCTGTGGCACCAACTTGTTTCAACAAGGCACTAATGTCACCATCAGTATTAGTTATTTAAAGGTATAAAAACAGCAAGAAAACAAATAACAAAAGTACATCACACTCACCGGTCTCAATTTTCTGCTTGTTAGTTTCCACACTTTCATTCTGTCCCTTCCAGAAAACATTGAGAATTCTGCTACGAATACGTTTGTAATAGGAGTCTTTGGAACACCTGTGAGTAGGATCCTCCTTTCCGGCAGCCATAAGCTCTAGACGTTCTGCAAGGCAAATGTAGTGTTGGATACTCTCAAAGGACTGCCGTTAAAGCAGTTATGCAAATTGTGCTTACTCTGAACCTTTCTTCTGATAATCGGACGGACGAAGAAGAAGACAATGATTGCGGCAACGATGCCCGCGGAAAAACTTACAACTAGAGTCAGCCATAAGGGGATCTCAGGAAGATTCAAAACTAAAGAACCAATTTGCACACATAAATAAGGGGAAATAGTGGGATTAGCTGTCAAGATAAACTTACGGTGAAGACCACCATATAAAACCGAGAACACATTTATTATTACAGTTACACCGTAGAGGAATGGAAGCGTATTCAAAGCCGGCTCAAGGGATTGTTCCTGGAAGATGTTAAAACAAATTTCAGATTGTTTATTAGCAATAGTTGCATACAAGCGATAATCAGCTTCACTTACCTTCACCAAAACGACATATTTGATAATGAGGAATAAACAACTCGAGACAAGACCACTTAATAAGGGTGAAACGAACCAAGAGATAACTACAAACAGATTTTTGGCATTTACAAATAAAGTGGGATAAATATCACAATAATTGGTTTAAAGTGCAGAATACTACCTATTTTAAGTATCCCCATCCATTGCACACCTTGAAAACCAAAAAGCACAAGACCAAAACCTGCAGTTGCACCAACGATACTGTGAGTGGCGGAAACAGGAATTTTGAGAAAAGTTGCAAACAGCATCCACAAGCACGCGCCTATGGTAAACAAAGGTGAGAAAAATCATTCTCCAGGAAAAGAGGAAGGACCTCCAAGGGAGTTACTTACCACAAAGAGAAGACACCTGACCTTGCATCAATCGCATCGGACCATCTTCGGTCCCGTTAAAACGTGTGAGATCAATAATACCACCACGAACTGTTGCCGACACATGTCCGCCAAGGAGTACAGAGCCGAAAATTTCACAAATCGTTGCCAAAATACACGCCAATTGGAGGGTTAACACTTTGGAGCCAACACTGGTGCCGAACGAGTTTGCTACATCATTCGCACCAAGACCGAAAGCAAGCATAAAAGCTACCATGAAACCCACGATCACTAAAAGAAGCTCTGTTTCAACTAGCATTACTGCCTAAAACACAAACAAGACAAAGTTTGAATAACAACAGAAAAATCACATGAGGATCCACATAAACGCCTGAATACTAACAGATTTACAAAAAATTTGGCAATAACAAACGTCCGCTATTAAGCGTGGTATCACAAAACCGACAAATTGTTAAAATTATCATAAAAATCCAACCAGATAAATCTAGCACAACCCTTACTAACCTATGGACACCGAATCCCAGACCAAAGTTTTGGACCCAAAAAGCAACGTGACCAACCTTGACAACGCATAAAACACGCGTTATCGTATAACACCAATGGCTTAAGAGATTTAAAGCGGTGCTGCCAAACAAAAATTGTTTATGCGACTATGAAGTAACTGGGGTAGATACTTGGCACAAATTAATAACATGCACGTTTAAAATATTTTATTTTGGAGTTTTTTTCAAGAGTGCTTTGGTGGCCATAAATCAGTAGAGAACTTTCTAAATCCTTTAATGAAAGGCCTCCTTTAAAGTTCCTGTTTTCCAGTTACTACCAGGCCTAAAATCGAAAAAAAGATGCAAAAAAATTCTAGTCGCAAATTTGCAAAGTGTGACTTTTGGTAATTTCACCGCACTTTGTGCCGTAGGAGTAAAATACGAATTGGTCTTGATCTCCACTAGAACAGTCTTTTCTAGGCTACCAAAACACCTTTAATGATTAAATGGTGCCAGGTACCTCAGATTTCCCTAAAAGTCTTACGACGATCGAAGAGAAGCAATAAGGATCACGTTCTCGCTCGCCCCGATTTTTTCAGTGATCTTACGATCAAAAGAGCAGAGCATAACCCGAAACCCATAAAAATGCCTGGCTACCTAATTAGAGAGGGCATTCAGATGAGGCCTTATGTAGCGTCCCGGGAAAGAAGACG